AGAAATCTACTCTCACTACAAAACTGCAGTACTGCATATCAATACAGTACTCAATGAGTACAGTAGTACAGTATTACCTGTGGACTGTTCTGTAGGACATTGTGTTTCGAGTATTTGGGAAATGTATTCCTACACAGTATTTACAGTATTGCACTCTTTGTATTGCAGAACTGAAAGATTACCAACAAGAGGTGGACGGGGCCGTCTTCTGTCTCCTGAACAGGAAACAGAGATCATGAACATGGTTCTTGAAAATAATGCCATTACCTTACGGCAAATACAAAGAAAAATAATAGAAAACAATGAGATATTTCAAAATATTGATAGGGTAAGTTTATCAACGCTGGACCGTGTCTTGCACAGAAATAAACTGAGGATGAAGCAGGTCTACAGGGTGCCATTTGAGCGCAATTCAGAAAGGGTCAAAGAATTGCGATATAACTATGTGCAAGTACGTCCTATACAGTACATTCCCACCTTTGATGCATACTGTCAACATTGTATAAATCATACATATTTCTTTCTATTATATTGTAATCATAATGATTGTGCTTCACAATAGAGACCGCTCCATGTCTACTTCTGATATTGTCATGTGTGTTTCAGAGAGTCCTTGAGCTGGAGGTGGATGCAGTGGAGCACCAGTTCTTCTTCATTGATGAGGTTGGATTCAACCTCACAAAAAGACGAAGGAGGGGAAGGAATATAATCGGCCAGCGTGCCATTGTTGAAGTCCCTGGCCAGCGCGGAGGGAACATCACAATGTGTGCAGCGATGACCGACCATGGCATCATCCATCACCATGCTACCCTTGGCCCCTACAACACTGCCCATCTGATCACATTCCTGGACACCCTACACAACACACTCATTCCACCAGATCAGATAGACGGCCCAGAGCAGCTCAGGTACGTTGTCATTTGGGACAACGTAAGCTTCCACCGGGCTGCTCTGGTTCATAACTGGTTCACTGACCACCCACGCTTTTCAGTTGTTTATCTCCCTCCATATTCTCCATTCCTCAATCCTATTGAGGAATTTTTTTCTGCCTGGAGATGGAAAGTGTACGACCTAAATTCAGAAACGCGTATACCCCTTTTCCAAGCTATGGAAGACGCATGTGGAGATATAGCAGTTGATGTTTTTCATGGCTGGATTCGCCATGCTAGGCGATATTTCCCCCGCTGCTTGGCCAGGGAAAACATTGCTTGTGATGTAGATGAGGTGCTGTGGCCAGACCGAAACAGAAGAGAGGATGCAGCATAGTTTATTTTGTTTTTTATTATTACTGTAACTGTATACAGTAAAATCTTCTGCACTGTATGTGCAACTTTGTGTCAGTTGGGATGTACACTGTGTACATTGTTTTGTGGGAAAAATAAAACATGTTTGTTACAGTATATTTGTGTGTTCTGAGTATAAAAACAATATTCTAAAATATTTTACAACGCACTTATGTATTTAATGTCTGTAGTAAGTGTAACACTGAACAAAAAGTCATTATGATGAATGGAGAATGGTGTTTTACACTGAGCACATCAGTGTTTAAATGCTTTTTTTAATTGTCTGTTCATATGATAGTTTGTGTGTGTCATCTGAACACAAAATGGCCTTTTTTGAAGAGATAAAACTGTTTTGAATGTAAAGTTTCATTTTGCAGGAGAATTGAAGGGTTTTGCCCATTGTGTGTGTGTTTGTTGGATTTGTGTGTAGAGTTCTGAGAATACGAGGCATGTTTTCAGAAATGTGTGTAAACAATCCAGAAAAACTGTAATGTAGATGGGAACCATGAAGGAAGAGATGTGGAGCACTCAGCTTCACTGACAAAGATGTGAGTTGTTTGAGGTGGCCAGTGACACATTGGTGGAAAATGACGGAATAAGGCAACTTTTTACGTGCCCGAGGGGTCCCCTCATTAATGGAGGAGCAGAAGGTCATTAAAACAAGAGAGCTAGTCTCTAAAACAGACATGGCTACGGCTTGATGCTAACATGTTTGTTAGCTGTCAGAATTCTGAGAAAAAAGTCAGAATTCTGAGAAAAAGGTCAGAATCCTGACTTTTTTCCCATATTAAACTGAAATAAAATTTAAAAATCAGTTAACTTTTTTTTTTCAGTGGCCCTAGACCAGACCAGGCCACTTCGGCCAGTAGAATCTGAAGAGAGACACAGGCAGCAGAGTGTGGAGGAATGGGTGTCTGCTGTGATGTGTGTAGCTAGCAGGTGGTGCCAGTGAGGATAAGAAGCGATGGAATCGGTCTACAAGCATCGTAAAAGGAGGAGGAAAGGAGGCGCAGAGAGGGAGAGAGACAAAAAAAGAGAGGCACTGGAGGAGGAGGACGCAGCCAAATGCAGAACAGTATCAGATTTATTAGTTTTTTCTGATTGCTTAAGCACTTTTTTTGTAACTATTGGCTATTTTTGCAAAACTCTACACACAAATAAGAAAACCTTTCACCCAATTAGCAAAACACTGTAGTTCTCTTGCAAAAGCGAACACAGCTAGATTAACTCTTCACACCTTTGTAAAAATGGTGTTTTCGTATCAAACAGTAAACACAAACCATCATCTACTAAGCACACAATGTGCCAACTACACACTGATGGTATGAATACAAAACACATCTGGCTTTCTCTTTCTCTGTGTACAGATGTCAATTTGAGGTCATACTTTTGTCATAGTGTCATGTAAACATACAAGGATCCAAATTTCAAGTATTGCTGTCTATTCACACTCATCAAAACCAAGACAAAGTCAGAACACAAAATAGTAATTTCACAAAAAAAAAAAAAAAAATCAGCCTACATCATGTCGTCTTTCAAGGTCCAGCCACAAAATTTCGTCCACATCCAGGCCTGACATGATGCCTGGTCAATATCTCCACATGCCTCCTCCATTGTCTGTAAAAGGGCTACCTGTTGATGAGGATAACATTGTCCCATATGATGACATATTGGGTATGCTCTGGTCTCTGAACAGTAAGCATGTCATGTAAGGTGTCCAGAAATGCAATAACGTGTGCAGTGTTGTATGGGCCTATGGTTGCATGATGGTGAACAACACCATTTTGGCTTGTAGCTAACTCTGTAAATTTGTTTCATTCTTATTCTGTGGCGTGCAAGTACACGACTTCATGAAGAAATGCTTATTGCCTATTTTGAAAGATGGTGTCATTATCAATTATTATTTATAGTGCTTTGGCTGATTGCAAAGTGAACTAATTATCTAAAACAGTTTTCACATGTGAAAGTGTGCCAGACAGTTGGCAAAATAGTGTTAATGATAGCCATACATGTGTATGATTTTGCTAGGAGTGTGTTGGAAATTTGGTAATAGAGTGTTGTGCAGTGAATGGTGCCTACAGTTTTGCAAAATGTGTGGTACAAAATTGCAAACTGAGTGCAATGCAGTGTTTGTGCTTTTAGTTTCGCAAACTCAGTGAGTGGTTTTGCTATACGTTTTAATAGTTTTAGAAATTGTGCTACAAGAATCACGATTAGCGCTTAAGCATTCAGAAAAAACTGTAATCAGTGTTTTCCAACCTTTTTTGACCTGTCTTCCCCTTTGGGCAATTTTTCGTACCATGACTTCCCCTCTCAGTCAAAAGTATTGATGATTGTCCAAAAGTGGAATGTGCAAAAAAAAAAAAAAAAAAAAAAAAATTGTATTCCTTATTGTGATTATCTTACCATTTGCTTCAATAAAAACAATAAAAAAGTTGAATTTGCAATAACTAAAATAAAGACTATTTGACTTATTGTTTTAATTTGAGCATTTAATTCCTCTCATGTTATGCTTTCCTTCTCAAATAGAAAAATAACATAAATATGTTGCGTGGAAGTTAGTAAGGAATCAAAATAAATACAAAATAGAATCATTTTATTAACATGTATTTATAAAAGGTTATCCTGAGCTATCTCTATAGTTCTGCTGCTATAGGCTTAGACTGCTGGAGGACATAGGGACCCCTTTTTCATCATTCTATCTCTATTCTCCCACTCTGCAGAATCTGTTAGTTCAATCTCTAACGTTCTGCTCTCTCTGCTTTTTCTCATAGTAGCTTCATCTGGTCTGTTCCTGTTTGGCTGTGACTCCATCCTGGAGAGAAATATCAGCTGTGCTGCTGCCATCAACACCTTTGTTTCTAGATGTTGGAGCTTGGCCTGTTTTCCAGTGTAGTCCTGTTTCTCTGACTGTGACTAACTGGATGTGCTCTCTTCATCCTCTGACATGGGAGCTGGCTCGGAGCTCGTCTGCCTGTGGAGCTGGTTGGCAGATGCCTTTTGTATCACAAGCGCACTGCTCTTTTTCTTATATATTTGAATTCGCCTTCAAAGCTGAAGGTGAATTCAAATATATAAGAAAAACATACTTTTTGGTGGATAAAAGCCTGTTTATTTTATCAGTTGGGTCCTCAGAAAGCAAAACAGACTGACTCCTGGCCTGAAACAATCTCCCAGTACCGCCATGGACATTTATTGCCCCTTTGTGTGAGTTTATTTCTGGATTTAAGTATTTTTGGGACTTTTTGTGGATTTTGTTAGTTTAGATTCCGCCACCTTTTGTAATTAAACTTACAAGAAACCACCTCAGCTTCAGTCTCTGCATTTGGGTCCTCTTCAACCCCGGACTCAGCCTGACACTGACAGGTTCTGGTTCTGAGTGCAGAGCCGAACCCTGGCGGTGAGAGATCAGCTCGTCTGGTTTCACTGGACGCATCCCAGTGAGACTCTAACTGGGACACAGAGGCTGCTGAAGCAGTCGCCTTGGTTACTGTTACCATGGTGATGCCAGGGAGACCCTGATGGGAATGTGAAGCAAGACGTTGGTCTGGGTCTGACCTTTGTCAAACTCTGAAATCCTGAGTGGGGTTTTTTTCTGCGGTTTTATGACAGGCGGGGGAAATAGCACGTTGTGAGGACCGATGCCTGGACGCCATGAGCTGTTTTAGGGTCAGGGGTCAAAGATTGAGTTTATACTCAGGGCTGAGATCTCGCGAGAGCTGTGGGCGTGTGCGTAAGTAAAAATGGCGACATACAGGTAATTCAAAACAAACAATTCCAGTCCTGGTAAGTAAGCCAATAAATGTAAATAAAACAAGCAGATTTAAACTTTGACAATTGTACCGTATTTCCGAGGGAACAAACTGGAAGACGAGACCTTGACGAGCCTGGAGAGCTACCTGGACGAGTGTTTTGACAACATCGTAATGGGGAAGCCGAAGAATCCCACATCCACGAACACACCGTCTTCCAAACGATGTCGGTCTAGTTCAACCAGTGCTGCTTCTACATCTACTTTGTCTCCAGACAGGAGCTACAGCGACGTCCTGGAATCCATCGACAAAAAGCTAACTAGCTTGGACGCCCGCCTTGCCCTGGTAGAAGTCCTGCATAAGGAGTTTCAAGCTTTGAGAGAGTCGCTGGAATTCAGCCAAGCTCAGCTGGCCTCCGTCACCGCCGAGAATGAAGCGCTGAAGGGGGAAGTCACCAAACTCGCCGAGGGGATGATCCAGCTGTCCGGCGAAAATAGAAAGATGAAGGAATCCATTCTGGACATTCAGTCGCGGAGCATGAGAGACAATCTCGTCTTCGCTGGAATCGCTGAACAGCAGGACGAGGACCCTGAGGCGATAGTACGTGAGTTCCTCCAGAAGAAGCTGAAAATCCCGGCGGACCAGGTAAAAAACATCACCTTCCATCGCGTTCACCGGCTCGGAGGTAAGAAGCCTGATAAATCCCGTCCTAGACCAATTGTAGCTAAGTTTGAGCATTACAAGCAGAAAGAGCAGGTCAGGAGTCAGGGCAGAGAGCTGAGAGGAACAGATTTCAGCGTCAATGACCAGTATCCAAAGGAAATATTAGATCGCAGGCGAGCGTTATTCCCAATCAGGAAGAAATACATCAGTGAAGGCGTCAGAGCTACAGTAGCAGTTGACAAACTTTATATTAATGGTCAGTTGTTCAGGGATCAGAAGATCACTCCTTGGCTTTATTAGATGCACAACAGGCGGGTTTAAAAGCATGTGACACCTGATTAAAGTGTATAGAACATTTCACGGGGATAAATGAAATATATGCACAGCTCTAGAGCACGTTTGCACGGTATGACTGCTAGTTACAGCTGGGTACAGAATGCATGGGGCTGGGGTTCTTTTTCTTTCACCTTTTCTCACTCATTGCACTCTCTTAATTTTCTGTCTTCCTTTTCCTTATTCGTCTGCTTCTTCCCTGTGGTCCACACAATCACAAGCACACGGTTTGATGCTACCTGCATCTAGGTATAACTATTTATTCAGAGGCATGTACTTTTCATCTTCTCACTCACACCTATGGTGAATGTAAGGTTTGTGACATGGAATGTGCATGGGGCTGGCACCAGAGAGAAAAAGCTTAAGATTTTTAACCAGCTTAAAAGATTAAATGCAGATGTTGTCTTATTGCAAGAAACCCATAAATCAGCGGCATCTATAAGTGATCTTAACTCCCCTGAGTTCCCTGATGTGTTTGCAGCCTGCTATAACTCGAGACAGAGAGGGGTAGCTATTTTAATCCACAAAAACCTCAGTTTTACTTTATTAGACAAAATTATAGATCCTGAAGGCAGATTCATCATAATTAAAATATCTATTTATAACCAAAAGTTGTGTATTGTCAGCATATATGGTCCAAATGTTGACGACCCCTCATTCTTCCACAAAGTTTTTCATGCACTTTCAAAGCACGGGGATTGTTCTCTAATTATTGGGGGTGACCTCAACTTTGGTCTAAATGGAGAAATGGACAGGTTGAGTACAACAGGGACTCAGCACAGTTGGCAATCATTAAATGTAGTCAAACAATACATGAGTGATTTTGGTCTTTGCGATGCATGGCGATCTCTTCATCCTAACAGTAAGGAATACACTTTCTTTTCCAATGTCCATCATTCCTACTCTCGTCTGGACTATTTCCTAATCAGCAGCTCACTGCTGTCTGATGTCTCAGATGCTGTAATCCATCCTATTGCTGTCAGTGATCATGCTCCTGTTACTTTAACCCTAATAAATAAAAAAATAGTCCCACAAAACAAGAGCTGGAGATTAAATACATCACTGCTTAAAGATGAAGAGTTTCTCAAATTTTTCAAGGAAGAGTGGGCATCATACTTGGTGTGCAATGATTTCCCAGGAACATCAGCATCTATACTATGGGAGGCAGGGAAAGCAGTGATGAGAGGTAAAATTATTTCATTTTCATCTCATAAAAAAAAGTTAGAACAAAAAAAGATCCAGGAATTAGAGGGAAAAATAAAGTTACTAGAAAGCTCGCTAGATGAGGAAAAGTTAGGGGAAATCCGTAAAATAAAACTAGAACTAAACGAATTTATTGAAAAACAAAATAAATTTTTAATTCAAAGACTTCGAATTGACAACTTTGAACATAGCAATAAGTCAGGAAGCTTCTTAGCTAACCAGCTAAAAATAAACAAAGAAAAAACGACTATATTTGCAGTTACAGATTCAATTGGTAATACATTACAGGATCCGGAGGATATTAACAATGCCTTCCGAGATTTCTATAAATCTTTATACACATCACAGTTAAATCCATCAGATAATGATATCAAGCGATTTCTGGATAAAATAACTCTTCCTAAATTATCAGAGAGTCAAAGACTGACCCTGGACTCACCGCTGTCTACAGCTGAAGTTCAGGAAGCATTAAAAAACATGCCAAATAATAAAGCGCCAGGTCCAGACGGGTTCCCTACTGAGTTCTATAAAGAGTTCTGGAACATTCTGGCCCCAACGTTCCACAGAATGCTGCAGGAAACTCTAGATAATGGCAAATTTCCAGTTAATATGAATTCTGCCACCATTAGTCTCCTGCTTAAGCCAGGCAAAGATCCTATGTTTCCGACCAGCTATCGTCCCATATCCTTAATTAATGTGGATATTAAAATAGTCTGTAAAGCTTTAGCAAAACGGTTAGATAAAGTCACTCCTCTCATAATCCACCCAGATCAAACTGGTTTCATTAAAGGGAGGCAGTCAGCTGCTAACACACGCAGACTGCTGAATTTAATAGATTATTCCTACAGCAAAAATCTTAAATCCTATATATTGTCCTTAGATGCAGAAAAAGCATTCGATAGAGTAAACTGGAAATTTTTATTTGCTACTCTACATAAATTTGGCTTTGGCAATTCCTTTATAAATTGGTTAAAAATATTATACAGCTTCCCAACAGCCTGTGTCAGGACAAACAATCAAACATCTTCCAGTTTTTGTCTCCAGAGGGGCACCAGACAGGGATGCCCACTCTCCCCCTCACTTTTTGCTATTTTTATTGAGCCTCTGGTTGCTACAATCAGACAAACAAATATGATTAAAGGTATAAAAGGCATGAAAATGGAGCATAAAATTAGTCTTTACGCAGATGATGTATTACTTTATCTCCAGCACTCAAACACTTGCCTCTCTCAAGTGATTAGTTTACTAGAATCTTTCTCAAAAGTCTCAGAATACTCTATAAATTGGTCTAAATCTGTAATACTACCAATTAATTGCTCTCTACAGAATCCCTCAGGTCTACAATTGCAATCAGGAAATATCAAATATTTGGGAATTACTGTGTCATCTAAACTAGCTGAGTTACCAAAACTCAACCACACCCCTCTTTTAATGAAAATAGAAGAGGACCTAGAAAGATGGAAATCGCTTCCGATCTCCCTTTTGGGTCGGGTAGCCTCAATTAAAATGATGGTCTTACCCAGAATTAACTACCTATTTTCAATGATCCCAAATAAACCATCAACCGAATGGTTTAAATCTCTAGATTCTTCCATCTCTAAATTTCTTTGGAAGGACAAACCCCCTCGTATCAGCTTAAAAACACTACAGAAAACTAAAGACAGAGGGGGACTAGATTTACCTAACTTCCAATACTACTATTTAGCAAATAGATTACAATACATCTCTAAATGGATAAAACATAATCCCTTAGATGAGCCCTGGATAGACACAGAACAGGATATATGCAGTAATATAATAATCTCAGATTTGCCGTTTATTAGCTCTAAGATCAAACGGCACCCATGTTTCAAAAATATTAACATCAGCTCTTCCCTGACAGCATGGTGGGAATTTCTAAAAATAACGAACTCATCACTTATCCCGTGCAGTCGTACACCCATCTGGAATAACCCTGACATTCTACAAAACAATAATGTGATAAACTTTCCGTACTGGAAGAATAAAGGTATTACATATCTGGATCATTTGTTTGAAGGTACGGAGTTTATCACATTCGCTAGATTAAATTTGCAATATGGCATTAACAAAAATAAATTCTTAGAATATGAGCAAATCAAAGCTATAATTAGAAATAAATTTAAGCATATTGATGGAGGTTTAATAATTCCAACTAAAATATCAGAGTTTCTAGAGTTAACCCCCCCCAAACTACTGTCTAAGTTATACAGGACACTGACTAAACTGGATGATACAATATCTCTTCCTATTACTAAATGGGAGGAGGATTTATCAGTCAGCTTTGAACAAAACATCTGGGCTCAGATATGTCTAAGAACTTTTAACATGACCAGAAACCCCAATTTACAATTAATACAATACAAAATCCTCCACAGAGTGCACTATACAGGTCAAAGATTATTCAAGATGGGTTTTGCGCAATCTAACATCTGTCCACAGTGCACAGGCAATCGACTTGATAATTATTTTCACGCGCTATGGTTATGCACGCCGGTTCAGAGATTCTGGGTACAGGTATGTAAGGATCTATCACTGTGCCTGGGTTGTAAAATCCTAATTTCCCCCTCAGTTTGCTTGCTGGGTGACTTTGAGGGAAGCTCTATGGGAAAAAAATCGGTTTGCTTGGCATTCACTGCATTATGTATCGCAAAGAAAACTATCCTCATGAATTGGAAGAGTAAGGATAAACTCAACATCAATCAGTACAGAGATCTGTTGTTGGATCATATTAATCTTGAGACAGCATCTGCATCCCCCATCAGACCGATCTCTCTGGGCTCCCTTGATCGGCTCCATCACTTAGTGTAGTGGGGGGCTATGGGGTGCGTCTTGTGGGGCGCGGGGGCTAGTTCGGGGGTCCTTGGGTCCTGGGGGCTCGGGGGGGTGCTCGGAGCGGGGTGCCTGGCGGGTCTGGCCCGGGGGACTGTTGCCCCCGTCGGGGCGGGGTCTGGGGCGCCGCGGGGGGGTCCTGCGGCGGCCGCGTGCGGTGCTCTTGGGGGGTTCCGTGGTGGCGGACGTGGGCTACTGGCCTGGTGGCTGTGCTGCTGCTGGGTGGGGCTGGGCGCCGGGCATCGGTTCTTTTGTGGTGCTGGCCGGGGTGCTTCTGCTCTGCGGGGCGTCGGGGCGTGCCTCGTCTTCCGGTGCCGGGTTTCGGTGGTTGGCCGTGGTGCTTGCCGTGGTTGCGTCGTCCGGGGGGGGCGTGGGTGGTCGCGCCTGTGGCCGGGGTTCGTGTGTGTCTGTTGTGGGCGGGTTGCGGGCGTCGGGGGTCCCTTTGGAGTGCCCCCGGGTCGGGGTGTGGCTTCGCTCTGTTGGGGCGGGTGCCGGTGGCGCGTGGTGCGGTGCATCGTGCGCGGCTTGGGAGTGGAGGGTTGCTCGGTGTTTGGCGGCGGGGGGGGGACGGGCCGCGGCCGGCGTGGCCGTCCTCCTCTCGGCGGCCTGTGGGCGGTGCGGGGCCGGAGCGGGGTGGGTCGTGCTGCTTTCGCGCCGGGCGCGGCGGGGGTGGTGGGGTCGCGTCTGCTGCTTTCTTTTTGCTGCTTGTGCCGGCTTCTGGCGGCTGGGGCGGCCTTGCTGCTCTGGCTCTCTGGCGTGCGCCGGGTGGGGCTGCTCTGTCCTTTGCTTTGCCTTGCGGCTGTGTTTGCTGTGGTCGGTGGGGGGGGGGTGGTTTCGTTTTGTTTTTGGGTGGGGGAGTCCGCCTGGGGGCTTGGTTGGTGCCGTCGGTTCGTCCTTGTCGGCCTTCCGGTGTTGTTTCTGTTGGGGCTGCTCGGGCCCCCGCATGCCGGCGGTGCGCTGCCGGGGGGATTCCTGTTCGGCGGGCTTGCCTGTCTCCTGGGAGGGCAGGCATGTTGACTTTTCTGGGGAGGAGCATCTGGGTGGAGGGGTCCTCGTGGTGTGGCGGTGGGTGTTGGGCACTGGCTTGTTTGCGGCCGTTCTTCTCCGGTGAGGGGGAGAATATTATAATTTTTTTGTTTTTGTTTTTGTTTGTTTTTTGTGTGGGAGGGGGTGTGTGGGCGGGGGGATCGGGGCTTGGAGTGGGGCTCGGGATTTGCGCTTAGCTGTGTTGTGTGGCTTTCTTCTTCTTCGGATTGGTGCTGTGGGACCGGTGTTGGGGGGAGTCGTTCGGGGGCCGGGGTCGGGGTGGGGGTGCTGGCGCCGGTGCCGGGGGTTTTTGGGCATTGCCCGGCCCTACTGCGGGGTGGGTCTGGGGTGGCTCCTTGGGCCTGGGATCCCTGGGGCGCATTGCCCTTGGGCGGGGTCCCCGGTGGGGGTTCGGGGGTTCGGGTTCTGTGGGGAGTGCTGCTTGGGTTCTGGGCCGGTGTACGCCTGGCTGTCTGTCCCTGCTGCCACGGCCTCTGGTGTGCCGGGGTGCCTCGGGGCCTGCTGGGCTGGGGGGGGCATGGACATTAACACCTATGGCAAGTGCTTACCCCCTCACGGGTTTGCACTCTGTAAGTGGGGGAAGGGGAGGGAGGGGGAGTAGGTATGATCTCGGCCTGGATGTCTTCTGTCGCTTGTGTGGTGAGTAGCTTGATTGTTATTGTAGGGGAGGGATTACATCTCCGGAGGGGGGGTGGGGGGTGGTGATAGAGGGAAGAAGATCTTTGAAGGGCTTTGGGTCTGGCTCCCTGTCTTGGTCCTGGTCCGTGCTGCCCCCTGGTGGGGCTTCGTCCGGGGTGGGGGCTCTGCGTGTTGCGCGTTGGCTGGCCGGCTGGGATTGTCCCTTCCCTTATTCATTTATTTATTTATTATTATTATTTTTTTTCTTATCTTCCTTTTATATTTTTTTATTTATTTATTTATTTTTTTATTTATTTATTTTTTTTTATTATTATTTTTTTTTATTTAATTTTTATTTATTTATTTTTTTTTTTTTTTTTATTTATTTTTTTTTTTTAATTATATTTATTTATCTACTTATTTATTTATTTATTTTTTTTTATTATTATTATTTTTTTGGACGGACAGGACGGGGGGGGGGGTGGTGGAGTCGGCTCCGTGCCCGGCTGGCTGGTGGGTCCTGCTGCCGGTCCCGTGCCCCCGGGCTATGGTGGTGAAACTGGTGGGGCCCCCTTCTCTGGGGGGGCTCTCGGGGAACGGGGGTGCCTATTGGAGTCAGCGGGGGAGCTGGCTCCCTGGGAGTGCAGCAGGCACCCCAGTCCTTTGCTCCCCATCCCCGAAATCCTCCCTCTGCCTGCTCCATCACTCGGCCACACATGTAGGTTTTTGGGGAGGGGGTCGTTACTGGAGGGCCACACCTTCTGATGATGTCCCCCACCCCAATTTTATTTTGCATTTTAGACACTTCCATCTACATCATTTTCACAACACACATCTATGTAGGGCATTTTCGGGGGGTGGGGATCAGGGCCACCGGGGGGGGCTTATTTTATGGGCCTCACCACGGTCGGCCTCCTCCATCCCCTCTCGCATCTAGACATTGAGGGTTGAGGGTTGTCGAAGGGGGAGGGTGTGCTGGCACCGTCTATCTCCTGGAGGGGGGGTGGAGTGTGCCGGACACCCCCTCTTGGTACTCCCAGTTTTAATTGCATCTGAGAGCAACACGCAACAACACCACATTCGAGCGGGGCGCAGTGAGGATCGGGGTCTTCTCACACCCCTGTTCTCCGGCTGCCGCCTGGAGTCTGGGGCCTGGAGGAAGAGCGGGCCACCTGGTCCGTGGTTTTGGCTGGGGCTGGCTGCGGGGCCTAGGTGGCCTGCTGGTGGCGGGGCTGTCACCTCTGCTCTCCCCAAAGAAGGTTGGATGGAGGGGCATGAAGTGCCTGGTTGAAGGTTTTTTTTTTTTTTTTTTGTTCTTTTCGGGGGGGGGGGGCGGTTCTGGTTGGGTGGCCGGCGCGGGATGGGTGGGCCCCGGTCCCGGGGGGGGCTCTTGCGGGGGGTGGTCCGGTCCGTGTGCGGGGTGGGGGGCCGGGCTTGAAGCAGGAAAGAGATGGGTTGGTGTGGCGGTGTCGCCGCTCCCCTCCCCTCACATCCGGATTTTAGGTTCACTTATGGGGTCATCCGATAGTCCCGGGACCGACCACCGGTGTCACCGGGTTTTTGGTCCTGGTATTATTGGATGTGAGTGTTATGTGTGAATGTGTGTCTGCGTTGTTATTTTCTTTATTTATTATTATTATTTTATTCAATTTTTTTTTTTTTTTTTTTTTTTTTTTTTTTTCCTGTGGTACGAGTGGGGGCACTAGGGAGGAAAGGCATGATTGAGATGGTGTGTTTTTTTTTTTTTTTTTTTCTTTCCCAGGTTGGGGTCTCAACCGCACCCTCTCCCAAATACATCTCAAGTCTCCGCTAAGTGCGGAGCCCATTCCCCCCGTCCTGCTCTCCCTCCGCTGGCTGGCGTCGGGGCTCACCGGTGCACTGGTGGAGCTGGGGGTGGATGCCCGGGGGACTGCTGGCTCATTCCTGGCGGCCTCTCCACTGGCCCCGGCCGGCCGGGGCTTTGCTGGGGCTCCTGTCTGGGGGTGGGGTGCCCTTGGGGCCTCGGATCCCTGGGGCCTGGGACTGGATCCGCTTCGGGGTGGGGCTGGGTGTTGTTCGGGGATTTTCGGGGTCGGTGCCGGTGCCTTCGCTACGATGCCGGTTCCTGGGCGGTGTTTCTTTCCTGTGCCGGTTCTGTGGTATCGGTTCGGGGAGGGGGGGAGCTGCGCGGCATGGTGGGGTGCGGGTCTTGGGTCCTGTTTTGGGCTCCGGTTTTTCCGCTCGCACTTCTCCTCTTGCCTATTTATTTTAATTGTAATTATTAATTAATTTATTTATTTACCTATTTATTTGTTATTTTTTTTTTTTTTTTTTTTTTTTTTTTCTCGTCCTCGGTGGGGGGGAGCGGTTGCGGGCGGGTCGGTGTCTGGTGTCCGCTGTCGCATTGTGGGGGCCCCTTCTTTTTTTTTTTTTTTTTTTTCTCTTTTTTTCTTTGGGGGGTTTGGCATGTCTGTTTTCTCGGGGGGCAGGCGGGCCTGCTGGGTGGGGGTCCTGCTGGCGGCGCGCCGCTGGTGTGTGGGGGTCCGGGCGGCTCCGGCGGGGGTAGTGTTGGGGGGCCGGTCTGGGCGGGCTGGCTGCGCTGGCTGGGTATTCGGGTGGGTTTTCCCTCCTGGAGGCATGGCGGGGCTGCTCTGTTCCCGCTGATCGTGGCGGGTGGGGCTGCGGTGCGGGTGGGGGCCTGGGGTGGCTATGACCGGCGCGTGGTGGGGGGCCGGGGCGGCGGAGCTGCTCTGGCCGCGTGTCGGGGCCTGGTGCGGGCTGCGGGGGGGGTGGCGGACGTGGCTGGGCTGCTTTGGCATCGTCCGGTGGGGGGGCGGCGCGGTTCGCTCCGCTCTGGCTTTGTGCTGCCCCTCGGGCTGCTGGGGGGGGTGGTTGCGCCGGCTGCGGTCTGCTCCTCTTGCGGTTTTGCGCCGGGCGGCTTTTCTGCTCTCGGGCTGATTCTGTGCGCGGTGTGTTTCGTTGCGCGCTGTTGGCATCGGTCTTGGTGGGGTGGGGCTGCGCTTTTGGCCGGAGGGGCGTTTTGGGGGGGGTCCCGCGGCGCTCGTGGCCGGTTCGCGGCGGATGCGCATGGGCCCCGGCCGGGGGCGGGGCCGCCTTAGTGTTTTCCTTGGTGGTGCGGTCGCGGTGGGTGTTGCGGCCGGTCGCCGGGGCTTGGTGCGGGGGGGCGGGGCGTGTTTCGGTGCTCTGTGGGGCTGGGGCGTTTCGGTCGGCGCCGTGGGGGGGCTGGTGTTCGGCGCCCGGCCCTACTTCGGGGTGGCCGGCTGCCGGCGGGGCCCGCGGACTCGTCCCCGCGGCTCCCCGGGGCGCCGGCATGGCGGTGGCTGGGGGGCTTCCTCGTGGCTGTCTCTCCTCCTGCCTTGGTGGGGTCTGATTTCCGGGGCTGGCCCCGCCTTGGTGCCTTCGCTTCTGGGGTCCCCTTGGGCGCCTGGGGCTTTGGGTCTCCCGGCGCTGGACTCAGTGCTCTGGGGGGTGTGCCTCTCCGGCTCTCCACAACCACTATTGAGCATTTTTTTCTATGGTTAAAACTTTACATGCACAAGTTGACCCTCACAAACAACTACAGGTGCTAGGCTTCAGGTACTTAGAGATTCACTTCCAAACAGAAACCCCACATTCATATCTTCAGGTAACACAGAGTACATGTCAGACTTAATAATATTACTTTAGTGATAGTTTCAAGGTGTTTGCTTTATTGTATATCTCGTACCATGTTTTTTGGTTGTGCTGTTCTTCTTTTTTTTTTTTTTTTTTTTTTTTTTTTTTTCTCCATCTCATTACAGGTGTTGAAGCAGACCGAAAATGTTTTGTCATTGTCTCCTTCCTATCTCCTCTTTCTTTCATCTTTTGTCCTGTTTTTTTCTTTTTCTTTTTCCTTCTTCTTCTTCTGTTTTTCTGCTCTACTTACATTGCAGTGTCCATATGAACTGTAAAACTCCCTGCATAATTATAATAAAGCAATTTATATACATGAAACAAGTGGAGCGGTATGGCAATTGCGATACCGCTACACTTGTGAAAGTAAAATCTGTTGGGCTCCTTTTGGCATCAAGACAATTATTCTTATTGCCACCTTGCCAGACAGGACACTGTAAAAAAAAAAAAAAAAAAAAAAAAAAAAAAAAAAAAAAAAAGATTGAGTTTAGGGTGACTGTCAAGCTGTAGAAATGAATGGAAGTCAATGGAAAGTCCCCACAAACATAGAGAGGTGTGTGTGTGTGTTCTTACGGTGAACTGGATCTGACAGCCTCCCATGATGTAATCTAGGAAGGAGTGCATCTTGATGATCTGCAGACAGGAAGGGAAAGCAGTGAAGCAGCCAATCAGAGAAGAGCGGGCTGAATAAAGCTCCCGGTACTGATGCCGGAAAACATGGGTCTGAGTGGTTCTGAAAACTGGACTCATAATGACCTCAGAAACACTGAAACATCATCAATTAAAACAGTGAAGCTTTTTGGGTCGATCTGGACGTCTTGCTCAGACAGGAAGGGACAGGAGAGAGGACGAAAGGATGATGTCATAAAAGTAAAAAGCTCCCCAGTGAAATGGTTAATGATCCGTTCAGCTGCCCGTCTCTCTGACCCAAAGGAAGTCACTCCATGGACACCAGAAACTCTGGGTTCTGGTGGTTCTGGAGGGGAGAGAACAGTGCTGTGAAGCTGGGAATGTGTTGCAGCCTGAAATATAATCAAGTGATTTTAACAATGGAGAAAATGTTCCAGCTCCGTCTGTCACGGCTCGGTTTGCTCTGACAGAACTGGATCAGGGGAAAAGTTCACGTGTCATGTGGTTCTGATGGAAGGAGGGCAGCGGCTCGTTCTCATTCCATCATCCAATGCCAAGCGCCTTCTGAACTAAGATCTTTGTTTCTCTGCTGCCTGCAGATCGGAGGGAATCATCTGGTCCATGATTCAGTTTCTCCTCCTTGCTGAGGATGGATCTGGGGGAATGTGTAGAAGAGGGAGCGTCGTCAGCCTGAATATTATCTGATATTCATTCAGTTGCAGGGTTCCCCCATGGTTCCACAGGGTTTCCAAGGGTTCCCCCAGGGTTGCACAGGGTTTCCCAGGGTTCCATAGGTTCCCCAGGGTTTCCCGGGGTTCCACAGGGTTCCCCCAGGGTTCCACAGGATTACACGGGGTTCCCTAGGGTTCCACAGGGTTTCCCAGGGTTCCATAGGGTTCCCCCAGGGTTCCACAGGGTGTCCCAGGGTTCCATAGGGTTCCCCTAGTGTTTCCAGGGGTTCCCTAGGGTTCCACAGGGTCCCCCAGGGTTCCACAGGGTTTCCCAGGGTTCCATAGGGTTTCCCAGGGTTCCATAGGGTTCCCCCAGGGTTCCACAGGGTTTCCCAAGGGAACCACAGGGTTTCCCAGGGTTCCATAGGGTTCCCCCAGGATTTCCCGGGGTTCCACAGGGTTCCACAGGGTTTCCCAGGGTTGCATAGGGTTCCCCCAGGGTCTCCCAGGGTTCCACAGGGTTCCCCCAGGGTTCCAGAGGGGTCCCCCAGGGTCTCCCAGGGTTCCACAGGGTTCCATAGGGTTCCCCCAGGGTCTCCCAGGGTTCCACAGGGTTTCCCAGGGTTCCCCCAGGGTCTCCCAGGGTTCCACAGGGTTCCCCCAGGGTTCCATAGGGTTTCCCAGGGTTCCACAGGGTTTCCAATGGTTCCCCCAGGGTTCCACAGGGTTCCCCCATGGTTCCATAGGGTTCCCCCAGGGTTTCCCAGGGTTCCACAGGGTTTCCCAGGGTTCCATAGGGTTCCCCCAGGGTCTCCCAGGGTTCCACAGGGTTCCCCCAGGGTTGCATAGGGTTTCCCAGGGTTCCACAGGGTTTCCAATGGTTCCCCCAGGGTTCCACAGGGTTCCCCCATGGTTCCATAGGGTTCCCCCAGGGTTTCCCAGGGTTCCACAGGGTTTCCCAGGGTTTCCAAGGTTTGCACAGGCTTCCCCCAGGGTTTCCCGGGGTTCCCACAGGGTTTCCTGTCCGCTTCTCCTCCTGTTCCAGCAGCATATTCCAGGTTATTCCAGCTGAATAATTGCTTCTTCTAACAATCTATGGGTCTGACTGTCAGCCTGCAGGAGAAAATGAGGAGACATCAGAGTCAGGGAGTCACCTTGCACTGGTTCAGAATAACAATCCCAGAGTTCTTGTAGTTCTTCTTCTTGACTTTATATTTGGGATTCATGCACGGCCACTGGACCTGCAACACAAGCACAGGGGGAGGAGTTAAAGCGGTTCTGTCTTTCTGTTCCTGACAGAACCTGCAGCTTATTTCTGTTCTATTGGCAAAACATTCAGCTGGATTTGGAAGATCTAAGTGGAACCTAGAACAGTAGAAACCTCTGAAAAACTACTGAAGATGGAGAAAGTTCAAATAATAAAAGCAATAATTAAGATACAATAATTGAACTTTATTGAACGCACACTGGAGAAATTCCCTCTCTACATTTAACCCCCCCTTGGGGATCGAACCGGGTACTTACAACCATCTCAAAGCACAAGCGCACTGCTCTAACCCTAGACCAACACTCCCACTGATGAAAGAGGAGGTTCTAGGTATATATCCATCTCGGCTGACGGTTCTGCATTGGGTGAGATGGCCGGACACAACCAGGAACAGGAACACATTTTTTTCTATTTATATTAGTTCTGTGTGAATGTTTTGGACCCAGATTGGAGCTCAGAGGTAGAGACTGGACTTCAGCAGAACCAAACACACACTGACTCTCTAGTCGGGTCTGTTCTGACTCCATCAGATCAAACCCGGAGAGCACGGTGACACACGGCGCTATGACTCCATCTGTGTCACATAAATGATCCAGGAATGAGCCCAGGAATTCTGCCGAGGAATTCTGTTGTCTTTCCAGAGATCGTCTGTGAGGAACCTCGTTTGCCGAGGAGCAGAGCTGAGAAATCGGCCTGTTAGCTGCTTTGGGATGGAAACCCACAGAACATACTGGGAATGAAGGGAACATGGCGTATTCCTTCAGGGGAACCTTTATCTGGATTCATTAGACCCTTTATTAACTATTATTGATCAAAGATGCTCTAAGCTCTATAATCTTAAAGTATAATTTTTCAATTAGAGAAAACAAGCAGGGCTAATGGGCCGCTTCCAGGTCAGACTGATCCCCCGGGAGTTGATCCAAACCTGGACGGGATCTGAGGCAGGTGGATGTGATGTCAGGAGAAAATATGGTTCTACTTTTTATCACAGATGAGAAACATGCAGCTTGAATTCCTCAGGTTAAAATTATCAGCTGCAAAAACTGCAGAAACCAGAAACAGTTCTGAGAGCAGAAATAGGAGGAAGTTCTGGTAAATCCTTCATTAATTCCTTTCAATTGATCAACAGAACATTTGGCCTCTGAAACAGTTCATTTCCTCAGTTAGGGATGGTTCACTTCTTCCTTTGAAGGTTTGGTTAATTCTACATTTCCTCCAGAAATTTCTGACAGGAACTTTTAATCCTCCAAAGAATTCAATTGAAGGAAAATAAAGCAGTTCTAGTTTGCAGTTTTTAATGATAAATTAAGTTTAATAGGAATCAGTCCTGAAGCTCACTGCTAACCTGTTTGATGTAGATAAAAAACCAGTCTGGACAAGTTTGGGAACCAACTTTCTATGGAATACATTAATATCCCCAAGTGTTTAGGAACTATCAAGACATCACCCTGGAAGCACTCAGGAATTACCAAAAAAACAACCCAGGAACCAGGAATAAAAAAGAAACCACTAAGAACCCAGTCATAACCCACTCAGGAACCATAAACAACCCAGGAATCACAAAGATACCACTGAAGAATCACCAACCAGGAACCACCCAGGGACCAGGAATAAACAAGAAACCAGGAATTATCCAGAAAACACCTGGGAACCAGGAACCACCAAGGAACCAGGAATCTTTCAGGAACAGGACCCATCCAGGAACTAGGAACCAGCCAGGATCCAGGAACCACAAAGGAACCAGGAATAAACAAGAAACCAGGAATTATCCAGAAAACACCTGGGAACCAGGAACCACCCAGGAACCACCCAGGGACCAGGAACCACTCAAGAATCACCCAGAAACAATAACAAAACTGTAACCAGGAATCATCCAGCAACCACCCCGGAACCAGGAACCACCAAGGAACCAGGAATTATCCAGAAAACACCTGGGAACCAGGAACCACCAAGGAACCAGGAATCTTTCAGGAAAAGGACCCATCCAGGAACTAGGAACCAGCCAGGATCCAGGAACCACAAAGGAACCAGGAATCAATTAGGAACCACCCAGGAACCACCCAAGAATCACCCAGAACAATAAAAAAAAAACTGTAACCAGGAATCATCCAGCAACCACCCCAGAACCAGGGGCCACCAAGGAACCATGAATAAACAAGGAACCAGTAATCACACAGGAATCAGGAATCATCCAGGAACCAGGAACCACCAAGAAACCAGGAATTATCCAGAGACCACCCGGGAACCAGGAACCACCCAGGAACCACCAAGGAACCAGGAATCTTTCAGGAACAGGAATCATCAAGGGACTAGGAACCACCCAGGATCCAGGAACCACCCAGGAACCACAAAGGAACAGGAATAAACAAGGAACCAGGAAACATCCAGGAACCACCCAGGAACTAGGAACCACCAAGGAACTAGGAATCATCGAGGAACAGGAATCATCCAGGAACCAGGAATCATCCGGGAATCAGGAACCACCCGGGAACCAGGAACCACCCAGGAACCACCAAGGAACCAGGAATATTTCAGGAACAGGAATCATCAAGGGACTAGGAACCACCCAGGATCCAGGAACCACCCAGGAACCACAAAGGAACAGGAATAAACAAGGAACCAGGAAACATCCAGGAACCACCCAGGAACCAGGAACCACCAAGGAACTAGGAATCATTGAGGAACAGGAACCACCCAGGAACCAGGAACCACCATGGAACCAGGAATCATTCAGGAACAAGAATCATCTAGGAACCAGGAATGACCCAGGGACCAGGAATAAACCAGGAACAATCACTCAGGCTAAAGCCTGCCATTAAAAAACTGGATGCTGGTGAAGAAACCGCTGGAACGCCACTATGACTGTCGATAGTGAAAATCACCATAAACTGAGAAGTCTTTCTTCCAGATCAGACATCTTCAGTGCAGCTGGCTCCGTGGACAGAAAACTGTCGAATTTGATGCTACAGTAGTAACTGGTGAAGCATGGTGGTGGCAGCATCATGCTGTGGGCCTGTTCCACTGTTGCAGTGCTGATGCACCTCAAAACAAATAGTTATGGTTTGGACTTTTACCAGGAACAATGGTTCCTGCTCATCCAAGATCAAAGTTCCTCTCTGTGGAGCATTTCTGGAAGAAGATTCAAATCAGAAAGAAGCAGCTTCAGGACTGGAGAAGATCTCAGGTAATAAGAGCTCACCTTAATAACATCACTGATGATGAAGGAAACATCTGGATCTATTTCTCCTTAGACTTTAATTCCTGCTCCTCAGAACAGACTTTAACTCCTTCATTAGAAGAAGGAACCAACCATGAATGATCTGTCTGAAGATCTGTGCAGGTGGACCAGCAGGTGTCTCCTTCCTCACCAACAGCTCAGGCTGATAAGGGCGGGCAGCAGGGCAGCGCCTGGCCTGGTGTGTGTCAGGGTGTTCGGGCCGCGGTGTCGCTCAGTCTGACACTCGCTGAGTCGCTAAATTGATTGTGCAGCAGAGGGAGACGTGCAGAGAACAGATACCTGAGCGCCTGTCTGCCAGCTGAACCAGCTGCCTGAGCTCCCGCTCTATTTAAAGCCGAAGGACGACCTTTAGCAGCCGATAAACCTGCAGTCCACATCCAGACTGCTAATAGCTTTTATATCAAACACATCAATCTTAATAACCTGTTCTGGTGTTTTTAAGCCTTTCAGTCGCAGTTTGCAGATAGATTCAGACCTGCAGGGTTTTTCGGAGGAGGATGGTGACGCCTCACCTGTCGCCCATCGATGGCTCCCCTCATCTCCTTGAACGAGGCCTCGAACTCCCCGATGTAGTCGTGTTTCCCGTTGGAGTCCCAGTCCCACACGGTGCACTGCAGGACAAGAACGCAGGAACCATCATCACCAGAGCTGCTAATCCAGCTGCTCCCCGTTCCTCCAGGATTTCCTCAGGACCCAACCTTTGCTTTTCTATTCATTCTATTTCTATCCTTTCTCTCTTTTGCTTTTTAGATAAAGGTGGTACGGAGAACTTTCATTGATTCTATTGAACCACACGGTACGCTGATTGGTTTTTACACTTTCTCATTAAAGCTTGTGATCCTGATGGAGGCGGATCAATACTGCTGAGATCAAGTTCTCCCAAATATTGACCTTTTTATCTATATAAATTAAAAAATCATGAATTCATCCATTGTAGTAAAAAGTGAAACTTGTTGTCAGTCTATCCCACATAAAGAGCTTTTCTTTTTTTTTTTTTTTTACACTAGTGGCTTGTTTTTCTGACAGTAGGCTGACAGGAAAGGGGGAATGAGAGCACGGTTTCGAACCCGGGTCACCTGGCCTCTGGGACTAAGGCCTTCGTACGTTGGGTCACCTGCACGCCCAAAGAGCTTTTCTTTTAATGTTGTTTACATTATAAACGTGCTAAAATCAACGAATATCTTCGTCTAACTTCAAAATATCAATTTTATTAACCCTTTAAAGCCTGAACCAGGAAATAATTGACAGAAGATTCTAATTTTCCAAAATTAGAATTGGCATTGAAACTTTGTGACAAATGAAATAACTATATAAATTTTGTAAAAACATTAAATTACATTATTTATTTGCATCAATTTCGATATATTACGCATTTCTATATCATCTTTCATATGTTTTCTGTTCACTACGTGTGTCTGATTATGTAGGTCAGGGTTTGAAGAACAAAAACTTCACACTGATGATGCAGAGGTTTCAAAATCTCCTGTATCAAATATGATACACTTGACTTTAAAGGGTTAATTGCGGTTTTTCCATTAAATAACGTATAGAATTAAAATTATAGCTCCTTCAAAACCTACAATGCAGCCATAGAGTTCATTCCTTCCTGCTATCATTTCAACCCGACATCTCGCCTGCAGCCAGGCCAACAATGCCCCATAACGACCTCCCTTTCAGAGGCATAGACCAGTGTCGGGTATTGCAGGCTAACAAAGAACCCAAAATGATTCCCCATTACTAAGCGGTGGACCTGTTCCATCCATCCATCCATTTTCAGACACGCTTAAGTGGGGTCTCCAGCTGTCTACGGGCGAGAGGCGGGGTTCACCCTTGACAGGTCGCCAGTCCATCGCAGGTGGACCCGAACTTCTGGTTCTATTTGCATGTTTTCTAAACTAAAACCAGGCTTTGTTGGGCTGCTGGATAAAACCTGGAACTAAACGCTATTTCTGAAATTTTTAATAGAAAAAGTTTCCTTGATGGGAAGCGAAACGTCTTCAAACTTGGAAACAAAGTCCAGTGGATTGATTTTTATCCTTTTTGGAATGACTCTGACCTGATGACTGAGAATCTTCACCTGCATAAGCTAAATAATCCAGACTTTTCAATTTTTTCATTTATTCCTGAATTGAAATGGATAGAAAAACATCTTTTTTTTTTGCTGATTCTCTAATCTAACAACCTCCATTTTTTTTTTTTTTATTATGCAGCACTTCATTAAGAGAAGCCGGTGGCTGTTTGCAGAGAAGAAATCCTGCAGCTTTACTTCATGCACCTATGATGGGGTCCTGCAGTTGGACCCCTGCGGTGATTCGACTCTGGAAAATCCTTCTGCAGTCAGATAACGATGCTGAACCCTAACGAGCGGCGGTGGAGAGCTGACTGCTGCTGACAGACGCCCTCAGATCTGAAGGAGGTTTATCAGACCTCAACAATCACAACGATGCTGCAGACATTAGGAACATCACAGCTTGATGTTTTAAGAAAGAAGCTCAGACAGGTTAAGATTTTGGGGCCATGTTGGAGTGATTGCTGAGGCGGGTAAAGAGCGCGGGAGAATGCATCTCTGTGCATACTTCAGCATGTTTCCTTCCCCGCTCATTAAAGCGAGCAGCAGCAACGCAGACGGCCGGACGAGCCTTCAACTTCACAGAAATGAAGCAACACATGACGATTAAAGGGAAGGAGGGGGATTCCTCCCTCATCTACCTGGGAGGAAACACACTGAGGCTTTTAATGAGCTGTCAGCCTCACAGCTTCATTCGCTCTGACAAATTAGCGGCTCAGATGGTTCCTGGATGGAAACACAGGGTTTTCTGCTTCAGAGAGCCCCTGCAGCTCCGTGGGGAGCTCTCAGACTCATTTACGTGGAACTCATCCCGCCTGAAGGAGCGGTTAGGAGCTGGTGTTTCCTTCTGGATAATGGTGCCTCCTCAGCTCTGCTCCTTTGCTGACAGAGATGGAAAACGGACCTAAAGAATCAGCTGAACCTAATCTGAAGGTTCAGATTAGTTCTGTTGTTTTGGTTCTCATACAGAATCAGATAGTTTGAGGCTCCTTGTTCTCTCCCCCCCCCCCCCCCCCCCCCCCTTACTCATCAAGAAGGGGGGAATCACCATGGTAACATCACTTGGAAGTAGGGCTGCCAACTCCCTGAAAAGAAAGAAAAGGGAAACCTCCCGTGCGTCCCAGCTGACCCGCCTGCCTTCACCCCTCCTGGCGTGGTGATTTTTTTAGCCCCCCTTTGTGTGCGAAATTTATTTTTTTTAAACTATTTGACTGAAATCTGCTTTGAATTAGATGCATATTTGTGAGCGACTTGAACCCATGGAAAACATTATTATTCAGCAATTCACTTTAGTACAAAATAACAAAATTTGCTGAATAAAATGATTATCTTAAACATAAGCCCGTCCTGCTTAGCTTCAAACTGTCAAATTATATATATAATAAATAAATAAATAGTGCACATTTTTAGTGCAGCAGCAAACTTGTGCAAACTTGTAAACATACACTCACCGGCCACTTTATTAGGTACACCTGTCCAACTGCTTGTTAACACTTAATTTCTAAGCAGCCAATCACATGACGGCAACTCAGTGCATTTAGGCATGTAGACATGGTCAAGACAATCTCCTGCAGTTCAAAGCAAGCATCAGTATGGGGAAGAAAGGTGATTTGAGTGACTTTGAACGTGGCATGATTGTTGGTGCCAGAAGCGCTGGTCTGAGTATTTCAGAAACTGCTGATCTACTGGGATTTTCACGCACAACCATCTCTAGGGTTTACAGAGAATGGTCCGAAAAAGAAAAAACATCCAGTGAGCGGCAGTTCTGTGGGCGGAAATGCCTTGTTGATGCCAGAGGTCAGAGGAGAATGGCCAGACTGGTTGGAGCTGATAGAAGGGCAACAGTGACTCAAATAACCACCCGTTACAACCAAGGTGGGCAGAAGAGCATCTCTGAACGCACAGTACGTGGAACTTTGAGGCAGATGGGCTACAGCAGCAGAAGACCACACCGGGTGCCACTCCTTTCAGCTAAGAACAGGAAACTGAGGCTACAATTTGCACAAGCTCATGGAAATTGGACAATAGAAGATTGGAAAAACGTTGCCTGGTCTGATGAGTCTCGATTTCTGCTGCGACATTCGGATGGTAGGGTCAGAATTTGGCGTCTACAACATGAAAGCATGGATCCATCCTGCCTTGTATCAACGGTTCAGGCTGGTGGTGGTGGTGTCATGGTGTGGGGAATATTTTCTTGGCACTCTTTGGGCCCCTTGGTACCAATTGAGCATCGTTGCAACGCCACAGCCTACCTGAGTATTGTTGCTGACCATGTCCATCCCTTTATGACCACAATGTACCCAACTTCTGATGGCTACTTTCAGCAGGATAATGCGCCATGTCATAAAGCTGGAATCATCTCAGACTGGTTTCTTGAACATGGCAATGAGTTCACTGTACTCAAATGGCCTCCACAGTCACCAGATCTCAATCCAATAGAGCATCTTTGGGATGTGGTGGAACGGGAGATTCGCATCATGGATGTGCAGCCGACAAATCTGCAGCAACTGTGTGATGCCATCATGTCAATATGGACCAAACTCCCTGAGGAATGCTTCCAGCACCTTGTTGAATCTATGCCACCAAGAATTGAGGCAGTTCTGCAGGCAAAAGGGGGTCCAACCCGTTACTAGCATGGGGTACCTAATAAAGTGGCCGGTGAGTGTATTCGTGCCTTAAATGCAATAACTGTAGGCTGTAGTTGTAAAAAAAAAAAAAAGCTAAATTTTGCAGCAATAGTCTACATTTTTTCCACTTTTATTTTCTCTGAAATCTTGCAGCAGTGAGGAGTTGTTTGTCTTTGGCTCAGACTGTTGGGATCTGGAGGCTGTGTCCATCTTCTCCACCAGAAGGCGCACTAGATCACCTGGGGGCATGAGCTGACTGCAACACCTGTCTTCAATCTGCTCATCAGGAGGCTCCTACTTAAGGAGGCGGAGACTGACACTCCAGTGCCAGAGTGTTTGCCAGTAATGGTACCAGCAAAGCCTGAGCCAGTCTACCAGATCTTGCCTGATTCTTGTGAACCTGTCTGACCCTGTTTTCTCCCTGTCTCTCAGAACCTGACCTGCCTGGAAACCTGAAACACTGAAGAGAGAGACCTCAACCTGGAATCTGCCTGCCTGCACTCAGTTTGCCTCTGCCAAGCTCTCAGTTCTCCGCCTGCCTGCACTCAGTTCAGTCTCTGCTAGCCCTCAGCCCTCTGCCTGCCTACTAGCCTCTGGACCCTCAAGTTTCCCCCCCTGCTGATCAGTTCCACTTCTAAGCAGGTATTCCCCCCCATCATCTGATAAACAGCAGTTTACCTGGAACTCCTCTAACCTCTCTGTCCTCCTCAGTGGAGATCCAGCTGTGACCAGTCTGACCACCCAAGTTCCTGTTCACATTTTATTTACACCTTTTGTCAATAGACCTTTTGAACTTTCTCCTAACCTCCGTGTGTTTCTGCATATGGGTTAGACATCTAATCCCTTCATGACACAGACTGGTAACCTGAGAGGTGGGCGGGGCCTAATGTCAGCGTGCGAGGGCCGGCCCTCCTTA